GAGGGTAGTTTTAGTCCAAAAATGAAAGTTGAGGGACTGAATCGGGGATATAACCTTTTGAAAATTAAGAGATTTTTACTTGAAATGGGTTGTTGTTTAATGGGGCCACCAACAATGAGTAAAAAAATAAGAGAGAAAAACACAGATAGCCGGCAAATTGAGGTGGCCCGAGGGAGCAGTAAAGATAAATAAGGTAAATTTAATTTTTAAAATTTTCCTTACTTTTTTGGGATTTTTTTTTAGAAGTCAAAAAGGGGGTGTAAAAGGAGTGGTTGGAGTTAATCTTGAAAATGATACCAGGAGGTATTTTTGGAGTTGTTTTTAAAGGGCATTTGACATGTGGCATGTGTAATTATGGTGTAGGAGACAATTTATTTAATTAAAAACACTTAGATTTATCTTTATAAAATTAAGTGTTGGAGGTATTATTTACACCATAAATTACAAAAATTTTAAATTAATGCCACGTGTAAAATATTTTTTTTATTGGTTGGATGAGTTTGAGCCATATCAAATTCGAATTTTGGGCCTCAGGACAAATCAACACTTGTTTTGGCAAAATATGAGAGGTAAAGATAATTTTTTATGGAGTAATTATCTTCTTAATACAGAAAGGGATAATGGGAGCTGGAAAGTAGGAGAAGATCACAGTTAAAAAGGGGGTTTTATCTGATAAGAGTACAGGTGGCGAAATCTAAAAGGGGATTAGACTAGGTCAAAAAGTAAGGTGTCCCATTACTTCAAAAAATCACCCATAATTGAGTAACTGCAGAAAGTGGAAGTTACTGCCGGTACAAGAAGAACAAAAAGGAAATTTTGGAAAGGAGAACACACGGCCAGCCCTACTCAAACATCAGCAAATTTTCATACTTTTATTTTCTCTGCAGTCTGCTTCTAGATTTCGAATTTCAGCACAGATTCCATTAAAATTAGGATGTTTTTCATCATTCCAGTAGGCAAATTAATTCATGTATTCAGTTCAACAATTTCTTTTCATGGAATGAATTTCAATTCTTCAAGTTTATGCAAGGTATTGTTCTCTTTTCATTTGTAATTAATTTAATGTTTATGATAAGTAGCATTTTATTCAATGATTACTTATGTGGCTTTCATGCTTCTTTCCAACTGCAAGTTCTTCAATTTATTCACTGTTCACGTTTAATTCTAGTGCTAATTAGGGTTAAATTTACAGTTTTGCAGCAATTTAACTTTTAAATCTGTCAATAGATAGCATTTTAATTCTACTTTAAGCATGTCTAATTTAATTTGGGTACATTTATTTCTTGCAAGCATAGTTTAAATTGCAGGTAATTTAGAATAATTAGGATTTGTTAATTTTTAATCACGGTAGTGTTTTAAGTTCTTGGAGTTGTCCAAGGCAGATTTCATAACCCATTCTGCAGGAAGGTATCCCTCCCTCTTGCAAATCGTCTGAAGGCGCAATTTCAATTTTAATCCAACATTCTTCCCGTCATCTGCAAAGAGGTCGACTGTGAGGAAGGAGAGGATCGTTGGGAAAGTCCTCCTTTCTTACTTTCAACAAAGTAAGTGGCACGCCCGCATCCAGATTTCACACGTGCGAGGCCACTAGAGGATTTTTGAGGAAACAGTCCCTTTGTTAAGTTTTGACATTATATGATGAAAATTTCAAAGTAGAAGAGCAAAGTAAACAGTCCCTTTGTTAAGTTTTGATATTATATAATGAAAATTTCAAAGTAGAAGAGCGAAAAAAAGGATTTTTTCAAAGTAGATGAACCAATTTGAGGCTATTTTTAGCCATTTTTAGCTCTTTTTTAATTTTTTTTTTATTTTGTAATTTTTATCATCTAACGTATCACATATGCAAAACTTAATAGAGTAATTAAAAAAGAGTTGGATTTCAAACTTTAAAAACCAAAAAAATGGGTTTTTTTAAATAGAGAAATTAAAAAAGAGTTTTTTTATCAAAATAGAAAGATCAAAATGGAGATTTAACCATTAAATTTTAAGCTGCCTAGGCACTACAGCCAAATTACCATTTAGCTACACTTACAGCTAAATTGTCATTTAGTTACACACAAAAAAAATTTAGTTAAATCACCAAAAATTCAATTGTATTATCCGATAGCAGCTACAATTTTTAGAAATTTAACTATGTATTTGGTGTGTGTAGGTCTATGAGAGCTTGACCGTGGTGCTTGGGCACCTAGAAGTTTAATTGTCAAAAAAGCAGAACAGGATACAGTCCCACACAGCAATGGAGAAAGAGAGAGAGGAATCTGCGACAGTCGATGGACAGAGAAGGTTTCCTCGTAATGTGTGATTTCTCAATTTTTTTGCTTTCATTCATTCCAGTTCATTAACAACAAGATTTTTTTTTTAAAGGATTTTTGGCTGTGCTTTAATTGCATGTATTAATGCTGCATTAATGTGCTTTTAGTAACAAATTTTTATAATAAAATGTAAAAATAAACAATATTTTTACCATAAATATTATTTGAATGATTTTAATAGT